GGGCCCTGGGAAGATCGCTTGGAGCTCAGTTCAGCTTAGGCATCAAGCTCACAAAACATGTCTCCCCCACCACACACATGTGCACACACATACATGCTTGTACACACATGCACACCATGGATAAGGCATGTGCACATGCATACACATATGCACACACATGCATGCATATTTATGTACACTCAGGCATAATATAAATGCATAATGCACCTGCATGCACATATGCATTTGGGCACAGGAGAACAATGCACATACCTGCATGCATGCACACACATGTGCACACATGCACCCATACTCACGGCAGCTTCTCTCTGGACACCTCATTAAATCACAGCATGCAGTTAAATTGAATTCCAGCACTGCCACATACCCCAAGGGATATTTGAATAAGCCATGTTTTCTCATCTGTATAATGGGGAGCAGTGCTGTCCTCCTGGGTGACAGTGGAAGTTTCAGAGGTCTTCTGGTCTGGATGTGCTGGCCGTGTCCTGCAGCCTGCAGCCCTGGGCAGACACGGTGTGTGCATAGCAGGGGGAGGGAGGGCGCAGCTCCCTCCCCCAGGGAAGGGACCGGGGCTGTTGGTAAGCAATAGGTTTGGGACGGAAGTGGTCTTGGCTGGGCTGTGAGAGCAGCAGCGGTGACTTCCCCTGAGTCATCGAGGCTGAGCAGCTGTGTGTTTCTGGGTCCCTTCCTCCTCCGTGGGTCTGCAGGTCCCCTAAGCCAGCCCTCCTGGACACAGCCTCCCTGTCGGGGCAGCTCTGCAGTCCATGTGTTGCTATGGAAACCAGGCTTCCAGGGAAGGAGAAGGGGAGTCAGGGAAGTCCTCCACCCAGGACATGCGTGGGAATGATGGCCTGGTCCCATCAGATCTGCTGCCCAGGGCTGAACCTGGACAGGCGCCTGGCAATCATTTTATTAACCACTCTATTTTCTGGAACGCATACCAGGTATGCGTTTCGTACTGTTCCCCATCCCAACCCATGAGTGGACTAGAAGCAGCAGTCTGGGTTTCCAGATAAGGACTTCAAGATTCAAGAGTGTTTAAGTCATTTCCCAAAGTCTACACAGCAGTTAACAGAAAGAGTTGGGCATTGAGTCCCGGTCTCCCTCATCTTGAAGGATGTTCCCCTCAGACCCAGTCTGTCAGTCTCTCCCGACGCCCGGCCCCGGAGGCTCTGTGTTGCTCTGTCTGGTAACCATTGTGGCCTTCAGCACCCCCAAGTAAGGCTCTGCAGAGCCCCATTGTCCTGTGGGCCACTGTGGTTCAAGGTCAGTTGCCCTTTAGGGACTGGCCACACTGGAACGTGGCAGAGTCCCCCCTTTCCTGCCCTGGGCTGCTAGCCTTAAGCTTTTGTTGCTTTGGTTTATGGAGACAGGGTCTCACTGTGTAGCCTGGGCTGGGCTGAAGCTGACATGTTCCATCCTGCCTCAGCCTCCTGCTTTCTGGGATCCATGTGTGGACCTACATGCCTGGCCTGATCACCGGGTGGCCGGCTTCTGCAAGTCAGGTGTGGCTGGAGCCCTGGGGGAAGCTGAGTGACCTGTTTAGGCCGCTACCACTCACTCCCCTGACCTGTGCTGACCGAAAGACCAGTGAGCCCCAGGGTCTTCAGAATGTTCCGTCTTGGGAGTTGAGCTCAACTGACCAGGAACACAGGCTGAGGGGACGTGGGGGTGGCCACAGGAGGAGGAGGAAGAGAAGGAGGAGAGGGAAAGAGGAGAACAAAGAAGAGGAAAAAGAACAGGAGGAGGAAGAGAAGCAGGAGGAGGAGAAGGAGAAGAAGAAGACGAGGAGGTGGAAGAACTAGGTGCTGATGGCTTGAACCTGTAAACCTAGTTACTCAGGAGGCTGAGATCTGAGGCCTGGAGTTCAAAGCCAGCTGGATAGGAAAGTCCATGAGACTCTTTATCTCCAATAAACTACCCAGAAAAAGCTGGAAGTAGCACTGCGGCTCAAGTGGTAGAGCTCCAAGAGGCTCAGGAGATAATGCCCAGGCCTGAAGTTCAAGCCCTAGGGGAAAAAAAAAGGAGGAAGAGGAGGAAGGAGGGATAGAGGAGTAGAGGGAGAGGAAGAGAAGCAGGAGGAGAAGGAAGAGAAGAGGAGGAGGAGCAATAGCAGTTGCTGCCACCCAGGGCAGGAAGGACCTTCATGCTTAGATGACACACAGCAGAGGGACAAGCCGCTGAGACAGGGGTTGACCCCGTGTCCCATCTCCTTGGCAGCTGGACACATGGGACTCTCCTCTCTCCTCTCCCTCTCCTCCAGCAGGCTGGCACAGGGCATCCTGGGACCCTCAGAAGGCAGGTGGGGTAGGGGAAACCTGGCAGGCCTGAGTGGACAGCTCTCGCTCCTCTGCGTGGCTGAATGAGGCCTGGATACAACACTGGATCCCGGGCCCCATGTGCACTTGCTCTCACTCTAGCCAGTGACAATTTTGCAAAGTAGGAGTTCTTGTTTTCCTATATCTCACAGGGGGAGGGAGGGAACTAAGGCCGAAAGCCTGGCAGTGACTTGCCCAAAGCCTGCAGCTGGTCAGAGGACCGAGCCACGATTCATCCCGGGGTCTTCCCATGGGTGCTGGCCTGTCCTTGGAGGGAAATAAAGGCCAAAAGGGGGCCTGAGGCATGCAGGTATGGCTTCCCTCGGGGTAGGAAGGGCTTTTTAGGGGCTGGTAGGTGGGTTTGGGTGTTGCAGGGCCCAGTCCTGATGGTGAAGGGAGTCATGCAGAGTTGAGCACTGTTCGTCTGGCTAGGAAGTGGGTGTCAACCCCTCCCTGGAGATTTGAATTCAAGATCTCATTCTCCCAGGAGGCCATGAGGACCTTTGGAGTGATGGTGGCTGGGCTCTAGGGACAGGCACAGTGGGTCCTGCCAGCCCTAGGCGCCTACGGCCTTGCCTGGGGATGAGCACCCTCCCCTCCACCTCCCACGGCCCTCCTTGAGCAGTAGTGCCCAGGATCCTGGAGGAACTGTCCTGCATTCACCCTGGCGGGCCGTCACTGCTCACAATCACACAGACCGCCTCCAGCAGCAACTGTTGCCAGCATGGACCTGGGGTACAAGGGTGGGGGAAGTGGTCCTCACTCCCAGGGTGAGTGAGGACATGGGCAGTCTGTGTTGAGGTCCAGCGGGCTTGGGGAAGGTGGCCATGTCTGATCACATAAGTATTTCCTAGGACAGGGCACTGGTGTGGAACTTCGCAGGCACGGCATCTTGTATGCTCAGAACATCCCTAGCAGGTTTCCCTTCACAGATGAGGAGACTGGCACAAGGTCACAGGGCCAGGAAGGGGCCTCTCAGGACTGAGTCTGGCAGCTCAGTCACGCCCAGGCTAGTAAGAGGCCTGAGAAGGCAGGGTGCTGGGGAGGAGGGCTCACCGACATTAGCAGGTGTTGAGGAAAGACAGGGAGGAACTGGACTTCTCGTGCACTGCGTGAGCCCAGCCAGTCTGGAAAGTAGATGGGCTCTCTTTGGCCCTGGGGATGCACCATGGCGGTCCTGTGCTGGGATCATTCCCCTTAGAGATGTGGGGATGTGGGGTCTCCCCATAGTGGGACATGAATGGTAGTAGCTGTGCTGGCCCTGCGGTACAAAGGAACGGGTTGGGCTGTGGTTGAAGCCTGCAGCTTGGTTGGATCTCAGAGGTCTTACTCCAGATGGAAGAAGCCAGGCCTAAAAGGTCATCCATTTTGTGGATCTGTTTATGTAACATCTGAGAAAACCAAAACAGAGCCTATGGTGACAGAGAACAGATCTGCTATGCTTGGCGGGAGTGGTGGCCGGGGGACGTGCTAGGCAGGCACACAGCGGTGGAGTGTGGAGGGGGCCGAGCCTGTGTCTGGGCCTGGAGATGGTGGCTGTGGATGATTCAGGAGCTAGATCGTATCACCACAGCGTACACAAAGGCCAGTTCTGCGTGCATTCAAATGGAAGCACCAGAGAAGAGGCTGAGGAGGGGGGACATCTGACGTGTGTCACTCGGCTGCAGGGATGAGCTCTTGTGGTTGAGCCGCAAGAGGAACCCCCCCCCCCCGAAATTCCATCACAAGAAGGTGGCAGCCAGCTGAGGAGTTGGGGCAGGAGCCTGGCCTTATGTGCATCTCCCACAAATGGCCGCTGCCTCAGTAGCGCTTGCTGAGTGCTTCCTTTTAGGGGTGCAGATGGCCTCTGTGGTTTCTGTTATCCTTAAGTGTGTGAGAGGAAAAGCAGGGCCACCCAGATCTAGATGAGGAAGTAAGGCGGGGGGGGGGCTGGGGGCCCACAGGCCACGGTCCCTGGAGCTCCCTAATGCTGACACAATCTTAACATTTCCAACCTCAGCCTGCTCACTTCCTATCCGGCCCTTGCACCCTGCCCTTTGCAGCTCTGTTGCGAGCTGGGTTTGTTGGGGTGTTTTGTTATTATTATTCTCCACCTCTTTTAATTTTTTTTTATTGATGTGAAGGTGATGTATGGAGGGGTTATGGGTTGCCTAAGTCAGGTAGTGTGTACATTTCTTTTTTGATGATGTCACCCTCTTCCCTCATTCTCTCCCAGTTTTTCCCTCCCACCCCACCCCCAAAGTGCATAGTTCACTTTCAGCATAGTGTCTAGTATGTGCTGCTGCTGCATTTGTTTACCCTTGGTAGGTGCTTTATTTTACGTGAAATCACTGAGAGCTGTGGTGACTGGGGGACATTTCTTGGCTGGCCCCGTAGGGCCCAGGAAGATGAGATCTGCCAGGGTTCTCTTGGTGGACAGCTGGAGGCTTCTAGCCTTATCTGTGAATGGTGATCGTCTTCGTAGCTGGCCAGAGGGTGGCTGTGTGGAAAAGGAGATGCTGGGGTTCTGGGGCGGGGGAGGGGGTGCTGCCAACAGGGAGCCGTGGGGTGGGGGGACACTGATACTGTGCAAGCTGTTCTCTGCCATTCCCTGGAACCTGCTTGCCTATCTGCAGAACATGGCACCCAGGCCGGCCCGGGCGCCCCACCCTGCACCCACTGACACGCTGCATTCTCCCGCAGATTGTGCCAGCCGAGGACATTTCCATCTCCAGCACCCAGCACACAGTAGGTGCTCAGGACTAGCCCAAGGTGCTTGGGGGGGTGGTGGCAGATGTTGGGGTAGGGGAGGGGGCTGGGGTGCTCATGGCCAGGGCAGGGTGCCCCTCTTTGGGTTTCTGGCTTTGAAGTGGGAGGTGGGAAGGTAGCGGGTTTGCTGGAGATGGGAGTGTCCAGGCAGATCAGTGGGTCCTGGGCCCCAGAACTTTGGAAACTCCCTGCTCCAGGCTTAGGCAGGTCCTCCCCACCACCCTGACCCAGCCTCCTGTCTGCCCTCCCGGGAAGCTTTGGGGGTGTGCCCCACCTGGGCCCAAGTGTCTTTTCCTGGGCCCACATTACCCCTGCCCCACCACAGGGCTGATTATGAGGCTCTATCCAGCGTTGGCCCTTGGGCTGTGTTGTGTCCACGTGGGCCAGGGGGGCCTGCTGGGACTCTACCTGCTCCCCAGGCCCTGGGTGCGGTCCAGCCTCCCCCTAGCTGGGGACCATTCCCCTGGGGTCTGGAAGCCAGGCTGGAGCAGCGGCTGAGGCCAGGGTCACCCTCCCCCAACCCTTCTGCAGAGGCCGGGCTCAAGGGCACCATGGCCGCCAAGCAGCCCCCGCCCCTCATGAAGAAACACAGCCAGACGGACCTTGTGAGCCGCCTGAAGACCAGGAAGATCCTGGGCGTGGGCGGGGAGGATGACGATGGAGAGGTGCATCGTTCAAAGGTAGGGGTGCGGGGGGCCCCTCCTGGAGCCCCTCTTGGGGGAGGAGGAGATCTGCCATTTGAGGGGGCAAGCAGCAGAGGCTCAGCATGTAGGGGCCCTAGGGCTCATCATTTTTCTAGAAACTCACTGGAGACGGCAGTGGCAGTCCGTTCCAAGGAGCTGACAGCTTATGCGGCAGGTGTTTTACCAGCTGCCTTATGAGCACCGGGCTAATGGTGCCAGCCCTGGGAGTGGTGGCTTCCACTACAAACCCATTTGGCAGATGAGAGGTTAAGGCACGCCTGGAGGTTGCACAGTCATAGCTAGCAGAACCAGGCCGCAAGCTAATGGCTGCTCTTGAACCCTGTGCCACGAGGAGAGGGGAGAGAGGTTCTCTCCGTGGGGTCCTCCCAGCCAGAGAGATGCCTTCTGCTCAGTATGGGGGGGTGGGGGGGGACTGGTGTAGTGGGAGCTCTACCTGGTTACTACTGACCCCTGTGTCCACAGATCAGCCAGGTCTTGGGAAATGAGATCAAGTTTGCTGTCCGGGAGCCTCTGGGGCTCAGGTGAGCACTGACTGACCCAGTCTACTTGTGGGGTGTGGAGTTGGGGGAAATGTGTGAGTCCTGACCTCACCTGGCCTTGTCCTGGTTTGTACCCCACTTCATCACTCTGTCCCCCAAGTCCAGCCTCCCCCCTGCCCCCCAGGACTGGCTGTGAGGGCTGCTCTGAGACTCCTTTGCCTCTCGTAGGGTCTGGCAGTTCCTCTCCGCTGCACTCTTCTCCGGCATCGCCGTCATGGTGAGTCTCCTGGGGGCTGGTGGGGGTGGGTTCAGAACTCACAACTAGACCCTGACCTGAGTGTGTGCCCCCCCACTCTCTCCTCCCACTACTCTGTGGGGCCCCTCCTCTGCTGGGCCCCTAGCATCCTGCACCCCATCATCTGCACCCCGGGAGCCCCAGAGACTTAAGTCCTGGTGCAGAGGCCGAGGCCTGGCTGCCCCTTGCCTGTCCCTGGGGGAAGAGAGTTTCCAGAGCCTCAGCTCTGAGCCCCTCTTACTGCTGCCACAGGCCCTGGCCTTCCCCGATCAGCTCTATGATGCCATCTTTGATGGAGCTGAAATCACCAGCAAGACCCCCATCCGTCTCTACGGCGGCGCGCTCCTCAGTGAGTATTGCTGGTGGACTGCTGGGAAAGAGGGGGTGGGGGTGGGTGGGGGCGGCGACTGGCCCTTCCCCCAGGACTGGGATCTCCTTCCTTCCCCAGCCTGTCCTCTGGTGTCTTTGTCGGTCTGTGCTGCCACCTAGTGGGCATGTCCTCCACGGGATGGGAATCTTGCTTGACAGTCTGGGATGAGTGTTTATTGCTGGGGGTTAGTGTTCTGCTCTGGGCATTGGGGTACAGTGGTGAATGAGTCCAGATCTAGAAAAGGAAGCAGACTCCATGTAGGGTCTGCTGAACCCCCTCCCATCTTCATCCCTAGAGCATTTGAACCACTTCTGTTTCCTTTCTAATCTGAGTAGAACAGTGGTGGTTAGGAAATTGACTTAAAGATTTTAAAGTTCAACATCGGTAATAACCCTCCTCTTCTCTAAACCATTCTATGGCACCCCTTTGCCTGTGGATGTAGGCCCTACCACCTCTGCTTAGCACCGAAAGTTCTCAGTGGAGCAGATCCATCACCCCACATCCATAATGGGCCCTGGTCAGCAGCCCGGTCCCCAGGTTCAGAAGGCCCCTGGGCCTTTGCACAAACAATTTATCCAATCTGGTGCTCTTGTACTTCTATCCAACAATCTTCAATGGCAGCTCAGACACTTCTGACAAAGGCAGGGTGACAGTGGGGCTTGGCACTGCCTTTGGGCCGTGGTGGTAGAGCTCCAACTATGGAATTAGACAGATGGAACATCTGGCCACATAGCTGGGGTCTTGAGTCAACAGACATGAAAGGGTAGGCTGAAGAGCAGGATGGGGCAAATACCTTTTGACCTGAGCAGTAAAGGGAGGAGCAGGTCCAGCCACTGCCCTGGGGCTGGTGCTCAGCCTGTCCCCCTCCCGGATCTCTGACCCCCGGCTCTCTGTGCCCACCCCACCAGGCATCTCCCTGATCATGTGGAATGCACTCTACACAGCCGAGAAGGTCATCATTCGGTGGACACTGCTCACAGAGGCTTGCTACTTTGGGGTGCAATTCCTGGGTGAGTCCTGAGGTGATATCGGGTGGGGCTTTAGCCCCCATTGCCCACAGGTCCTGGAGTTCACAGGGAGTGGTGGAGATCTTCAGTGGGGAGCTAGCAGGAGGAGATGGAGCCGCTCACGTGCACCTGTGTGCTCGCACACCTGTGTGCAGCTGTCCCCGCCCCACCCATCCCTTGGCCTTGCAGCCCCCTGGGTTGGCAGCACACCCTTTGGTGTCCCCTGCTCTGCCCGTACCTGCAATGGGGGGGCGGGGGCTACAACAGAGCAGGTTGTAGGGAGGATGGGCAGGGGCGTCTGGGGCTCAGCAGTGGGAGCTTCCTGTGGGTAAGGGGTGGGGACAAGGGCACATCCCATCTCTGACCTCCATTTCCCCCCCTCCCCCAACCTTCCTCCACAGTGGTCACTGCCACGGTCGCCGAGACAGGCCTCATGTCTTTGGGAACCCTGCTGCTTCTGGCCAGCCGCCTCATTTTCGTCGCAGTCAGCATTTACTACTATTACCAAGTGGGCCGGAAACCCAAGAAAGTCTAGCAGGGCGGGGATCTGCCTGCGGCCCGGCCAGGGTGGCTCCAGGGCCTTTGGCCTCTTTTGGCTTCCTGAAAGGTCAGAGGCTCTGCCCCCAGCCAGCCCCAGTCAGGTGGGCCTCCCTCTTTCTGCTGGTTTGGAGACAGGTGGCTGCACCCCATTCTTTGCCCTGTGCAGGATCCCGGCCCCCATTTGCTGGGCTCTCTGGGCCTCCCTACCCCCTGAAAGCTGCTGAGTGGCTAGCAGTGTCCTCGGAGTGGGCTGAGCCGAGGCCCAGGCCTCCTCTGCCAGGAAGCCCGCTGGACAGAGAGCTCCCGAGCCCCCTGCCCCCAGCCAGCCTGGAGCCGGAATGGCTGATCTTGGCTTCTTTCCAAGCCAGAAGTCTGAGAATCTGACCTTGTGCCCCAGCCAGGGGCCCTGTGCACCCCATGCACACATGTGCGTGCGACACACACACACACACACACCCCTTCCCATGGCCACTGAGGGCTGACAGGCAGGCAGAGGCCATGTTTTGGAGCCTGAGCCTCCTTTGGCCTTCCTGTGAGGATTACCACCCATGGCCTGCACACCTGTGCTCTCCCAGGCCCTGGCTGTGGGGCACCCTGCTGGGGGCGGGCTGCCCTCCCTTAGGCCTTTGACCCTTCCCTAACCTGGCCCCTGGCACGTGGATGTGGAGAGCCCCAGCGGGAAGCTGTGTAGGAGTGAGGGACTCAGAGGGGAGCAGGGGGGGAGCAATGGCTGTCCCTTTGCCCGCCCCCCCCAGCATGTCCTCCAAGGCTGTCAGCCCTTCCTGCCCTCCTTCCTCAGGGGGAGTCTAGTCTCTGGACCCCCTAGGCTGCCCCACTGCCTCTTGGGTAGGCTTTGTGCAGAAGTAGTTGGGACCAGTCCCCTCCGGTCACTCCCCTGTCCCAGGGACACCCAGAGGCTGGCAGTGAGCTCGGAGCTAAGGCTCCCAGCCCGACTTGCAGGCCACCAGCTGCTGTGCAAGACTCACCCTCGCACCTCCTCCCTTACAGCACTGGAGAGGAATAGTGTGGGGTCAGGCATGTGAGGCAGTGCGCAGGTCAGGCTAGCCATTCCCTGCCAAGCACAAGGGACCCGCACTGTGAAGGAAAGCCTGCTTTTTGCTGCCATCTGGCTCTTGCCCCTGAGCCCCCGGCAGGCCAAGCCCATGGCCTGTGATGGCACTGGGGAGGGATGCCTGTATCCCCACCCCAGCCATGTCTGCCTGTCTCCACTGGCTGCTCCTAGGCAGGGGGCAGTGCCTTGTCCTCCCCTAGCGGGCATGCGGTGGACTCCCCGGGGGTCAGGCAGGAGGCGGAGAGCTGCAGCTGGGCCTTGGCACCTGGCAGTGCAGGCCAAGCCACTCAGTGTGGATGGGGTAGAGGCTGGCCTCAGCTGGGTGGCCAGGCTACTCGGGGACAGAGCTGTCAGATGGCGTTTGGCAGGCAGATGTGCAGCTTGTGGGGGTCAGTTAGGGAAGGCACAGGAGTTGGGGAGCCCCGGGTACCCCTCCACAAAGCCCCTCGTGCCCTCTCCCACCTTGGCTCAGCTCCATCCACAAAGCAAGGCCACCTTTGTTCACGGTCACTCTATTTATTCCTCGTTCCTTTTTCTTTTTGTAAGAAACAGTCATAAAAACCAGTGCAAAACCATCGTGCAGGAGTCCTGTCTTGCGTTACAAAACTTCTCTGGGTACACGGTATAAAAAGGGGCTGGGAGGCTACACTAGCTCCGCTCTACGACAGGGTGTCTACACACGGCAAAATAGACTTTGCACAGAGCACGGGGTGGGGGGCGGTAGGACGGGGGCCGGAGCCACGGGGCCAGACCCTCACCAGCGGGGTGGGCCTGGCCTGCAGGACTCCGCCCTTCCAGAGGCTGAGGCTTCCACTCTCAGCACCGGCAGGAGCAGCCCGCTAGGCCCACATGAAGTCTCAGGTGTGGGACCCTGGGGAGAATGGATCCTCCCCTCCCATCTGAAAGCCTGAGATCAGCTGGCTAATGTCAGAGCAAGCAGACGCCTCCTGCTGTGCCTTCTGGCCTGGCTGGGCACACTTGGCACTGTTAGGGAGAGAGCCCTTGAGGTGAGCCATCCTGTCTAACCTACCTTGGCTCCTTTCTCCCCTCAGGAACCCCACCCCGCTCCATACCTGTCACAGGTCCCAGAAGGCTGGGGTGCCCCAGCCCTGTGGTTGGATTCAGCCTTACCCAGCCCGGTAAAGGGATTTGGGTTGATCTGATCGGGTTTAACCAGCCATTGGCCTCTCCATGGGACACAGGGAGTGGAGGGGTCCAGAGAGAGGCCCCGTTTCTGAGGCTGCGCTGGCGGGGATTGCAGTTAGAGGTCCCCTGGATCCTGGAAACAGCCTCCAGTGAGTTCCTGGTATCACTTATGGAGATGTCAGGGCAGGCTGACACACAGCCAGGGTGGGAGGGTGGAGCTCAGATGTCTGAGAAGAGGCCAGGACTGGTGGGGATGGCAGGAAGGGAGGAGGAAGGAGGGTCAGCAGGCACAGAGCTGGCTGCATCTCAGAAGGGACAGGGGACAGAAGCAAGGAGCTCTGGGTTCCAAAGCAGCAGCTCCATCTCTCTCAGGAGGCAGGGAGGCTATTAGAGGCTTTTAAGACACAACAGGCTCTTCCTAGGAGAGACAGGAGAGCAGAGACACCATGTTTCTATCCATCCTGTGTCATGGCAGACATTACTAGTCAAACTCAGGCTTCTGACAGACATCACTAATCATATCCTATCATTTTCGACCAAACCAGGCATCCACAGCAGAGCCCTAGTAGGGTCCAGGGTCAGGTTATCTTGCAAGCTGTTTGGCTTGCAAGATATGTGTATGTGTGTATGTACCTGAACCTGTGTGTATGTACCTGAACCTGTGAGTCTGGAGAATCTCTGCCTATGCTGGGGAGGGAAGGACACACTGGAATGTCAGGTGGGCTGTGAAAAGTGTCACAGCAGAAATGTCTGGGATATCCTACGCTTCTTCAGCCTGGAGACAAGGGGAAGTCAAGGTACAACCTCAGCACCCCAGGAAGGAGTGAGGAGCAAGCGGGCCACACAGGCAGAACCCTAGCGCCACAGGAGAATCTTCTGTCTGTTGAGAGATGCTAAGGTCAGAGCATCGGAAGGCAGAAGGTTGCCTCCGGAGGTAGTGAGCTCCCAGCCCCTGGAGGTTATGCAAGAAGAGAATGCTCACAACACATCCAAGCTCTGGGTCTGAGTGGGGAGAGGAGAATTGGATGTCCGCTCTCCTGGCCCCTCTTGGTGGTTTCTTCTACCCTAGGCACCAGGGAACTGAACAAAAACAAGGAAGGGGTGACCTGTGGGGATGGGTGGGCAGTGAGGACCAGATAGTGTGATGTGTCCACAGTGGTGGGGCTTAGGGATAGAGGCGGGTCAGTCCCCAGCCAGTGTGTCCTCTCTCTCCGCGGGATACTAGGAGACCGTAAGTGAGCAGCAGGTCTGATGGAGCCCCAAACAGAATGGCAACAACCTGAAGATGACCCAGATTCATATGGGAATGGGCACACAGGTGCACTGTGGCGAGGAACGAGCCACTGCCCCGCTCTAGGATCCGGCGTCCATCACACGCAGCTCCCTCGGTCCCCCTCTGGAAGCAGGGCCAGTCCATCCTCTAGCAGAGCAGACACTGCGCCTCTGGTCCTGCGTCATCAAGGAAATGGAGGCAGCTTCTGGGTGGAGTCTCTTGTGTCTCTGTTGCTTACATCTTTGCCATCTTGGTCCTGAAGTGCTGGGAGGGGACGGGGGATACCCGAATCTGTGGTGATCCAACTGCCCTGGGGCTGGGGGGGGGGTCCTTTGGTCTCTGGCATTCCAAGCCAATGCTGGGCCCCAGCAGGGATGCCAGGCACCTGCCCCAAGTCAAGGCCAGGTACTTCAGTTCACATTACTGTCTTCATGTCATCTTGTTAAAAAAATAGCTCTGTGTCCCCGGTCCTTCTCCTGGATGTCCATGCTGGCCTGCCTCCTCTCCAGAGCCAAGTGGATGGAGAGAGGAGGGGGTACCGGGTGCTGGGCAGTGGTGGGCGGGGTGAGGTTCAGGCCACGCCCTCTACTGGATGCCGCGGAAGAGACACATGGCAAAGATCATGACAAACAGCTGCAGAGAAAGGAGAGAGAGGGGAGGGAGAGGGCTGGGCCCACACCCTTAGGGGCTGTCCAGCCCACTCTGGGGGAGGGGCATGAGGGGTCATTCCTCCTGCAGGGATGCTGCCGCCCCCTGGGCCAGCTTCTCTTGGAAGAGGGGCAGGAGACTTTTTTTTTTTTGTTGGTCGTTGGGCTAGAACTCTGGGCCTGGGCGCTGTCCCTCAGCTCTTCAGCTCAAGGCGAGCGCTCTACCACTTGAGCCACAGCGCCACTTCCGGTTTTCTGGTGGTTTATTGGAGATAGGAGTCTCATGGTCTCTCCTGCCTGGGCTGGCTTTGAACCTCGATCCTCAGATCTCAGCCTCCTGAGTAGCTAGGATTACAGGCGTGAGCCACCAGCGCCCAGCTGGGCAGGAGACTTTGGAAGGGAAGTCTTGGGTTCCAGCCCCATCACCGTTTACCATGGTGACTCTGGGCAAAGTGCTGTGTCCCCCTCTGGGCTTGAGTGGAACAAGACAGTGCCATATGGCAGGCATACTTCTAAGTGCTGGCTTGGAAACCTTCTCTAGGACTGGGAGGTAGTGCACAGAGAGGCAGACTAACCTGCCTCAGTCACACAGCTACAATAGGGAAGCAGGGCTGCAGTCTGAGCACACTGCCTCCCACCACCCCAGCCTAAGCACCCACCCTCTAGTGTCTCGGGGGTGGGCGGGTGGGGGCTTGGTGAAGCGTCCTCAGGCACTCTTAGGAGACAAGGCAGCTGTCACTACCCCCAGGTCTCAGGGAGCACACTTGCTGACCCCCCAGTCTTGGGGTGGAGAGGGGCAGAGCCCTGTGTCAGGGGCTCCCCTCGGAATAGGTTTGGTGCAATTCTAGGGGCCCAGTCTCGTGAGGGACACAGACCAGACACAGATCACAAGTTCATGACCACACGGACAGACAGCTCCGGGGGCCGAGGTGGCACCGCTGGCCAGGGACACTGTGAGGGTCTCATCTGGCACGGGGGATTGTGGGATGGGAAGGGTGTGAGGCCAGTACCACCCTGCCACAGGGCTGTGCTGTACCCTGTGTGTGCCACCTGCCCTCCGTGCCCGCCTAGGAAATGTGAAGAGCACGCATGCGGGCAGGCAGGGCCCATCCTGAGCTTTCTGTGTGGCGCCTTCCTGAGCCTGCCCAGGGTCCGGGGAAGACATCTGCTGCCGATCCCCGCTCGCTTACAGCGCCGCTGGCAGACAGCGGGCGCTCAGTACATGCTTCTAGAATGAATGAGAAGCCCCACTGCCCAGGGCACCCGTGGAGGTGGCCCTACGGGGACAGGAGGCCCTGGGGCTGCCGGGACAGCAGCTCTCGTTTCTTCCACAGCTCCAAGACCATCCGAAAAGGGGGAGTGGGGGGGGTGGCTCAGATGCTCCCCTGGGAAGCAGCTATGATCTAGAAGCAAGTGGACTGAGGGACTGGCTCAGACTTGTCACTTCCAGGGTCTGTGGTGCCAGGGACAGCTGGATACCAGTGTTCACTCATGAACTAAGGAACGGGGCCAGAGAGGCAGGCTGGGGGGCCACAGGCCCCTTGAGGTATCCTCTTGGGACTCTACTTACCTCCACCGCCAGAACCCCAATGGCAAGTGCTCCGGCCAGGTAGACGTAGGTTTCAAAGGCATTGAGGATCACCGTGTAGCAGCCCTGGGAGAGAGGGGCCGTGCTCAAGCGGCAGCCAGGATGGGCAGTCTGAGGCCTGGGGCTGGTCTCAGCACTGACCTCCATGGCATGGGTCCCAGGGCTTCCCTTCAGCTCCCAGGAAGTAGTGGGAGGGAGGAGGGAGGGCCTTCTGCCCACAAGAGGAAGGGGGCTGGGGTGCAGAGGGGTCCTTGGTTCTCAACCCCCCCCCCCCACCGAAAGGCATCAGAAGTCCTGTTCTCTTTCAGGTTGGCCGTAAGGGCCCTTTGCTCAGAACCTGGCGCTGTCTACAGCCCTGCACTGTCTACCTCAGACGGGCGCTGCCCCTGTCTGGGCTGGCCCCAGCGTCCACCCAGCTGGGCACTGTCACCAGCACCTGCGCTACTTGTCTGTGGGGAGGAAGTGTCCCCGGGTCCTGCCCTTCCCAGTGACAGAGGGCAGTTAGGCTTAGTGCCTACTGCAGCCACGGTCCACCTGTAGCAGCAAGCAACAGTGCCACCTCCAGAGGCTCCCCAGGAGCCACAGAGATGCTGTGAGGGCCTCATCTAGTGTAGGAGTCCACTCACTGCCCGCGAGGGCCCTCCAACCCCGCCAGGATGCCCCTGACCCCTGCTTCCTGCACACCAGGGCCTCACACCCCACGGTCCCAGCGCTGGCATCCTGGGGCCACCCACTGGCCTTTCTCCTTGCAGTCACTTCCAAGCCCCAGCCACAGGGGACCCAGACCATCCAGCAGCTTCCTCTTGGCAGGTGACCATGTTATAAATGCACAGAGAAGGGAGCTGTGGAGCCAACCCAAGCAGAGATGGGCCCAGGCCGGAGGCTTTTAGCAGGGGAAGGCTTGTAGGGAGCAGAGTGTCGGCAACGCCATCACTGGAGTCCCAGAGGAACAGCCACCATGGTAAAGAGCCAGCATGGTCTCTGCCAAGCTCCAACTTCACGGAGAGAGAGAGGGAGGGAGGGCAGGAAGCATCTTCAGGAGGAAGAGTCCAGAAACAGAAGCCAGCCCAGAAAAAATGCCCCAAAGGACCGGGACCCCGAGAGGCCTCTGTGACGTTTGCCAGTGTTGTTAGTGGAAGCCCCTGACCCCCTGCAGCTCCCACACCAGTTAGAAACAGCTCTGGCACTCCGAGCAGAGCCTGGGCTTCGGTGGCCCACGGGTGTCAGCGGCCTGGACTCTTCTTTGCCACTTTTGAGGCCACTGTCCCAGCTAGGTAGGTCCCATGTCACAGAGGTGGACACAGCAATCTCTCTCTCTCCCCCCCCCCCATTATGGGGCTTGAACTCAGAGCCTGGGCACTGTCTCTGAGCTCTTTTTCTCAAGGCTTAGCAGCACTCTACCACTTTGAACTGCAGCACCACTTCTAGTTTCCTGGTGGTTATTGGAGATAAGAGTCTTACAGACTTTCTTGCCTGGGCTGGCTTTGAACTGTTGTCCTCAGATCTCAGCCTCCCAAGTAGTTAGGATTGCAGATGTGAGCCACTGGCAGCCAGCTGGCAATGTCGTTTAAGAACGTGACTCACGGGTCTGAGTCACATCTGCCCACCTCCCTTTGGCTGGGAGGCACGGCCTCTATCCCGTGGCTCAGCACGGGTGCTAGGGTGTAGGGAAAGCCAGCAGTCTGGGCCTGGTATAGCTGGGGGAGCTGAGGTCTTCCGAGATGGCGAGAGAGCAGCTGACAGCCTAGACCTGCCTGGTGTGGAGTCCTGGACTGCCCCTTGTGTGGTCCCTGCCGCTGGGGCCAGACCCCAGGGCCCTGGTTCTTTCTCTTTGTTCCTTTCTCCCAGGTAGGATGGCAGGCAGGGTCCTGCGGGCAGATGGACTGTGGCTCTTGGGCCCTTGGTCAGCCCCAGGCAGGTACAAGGGGCAGGTGCCGAGTGGCTAGAGCCAGGCAACCTCTCAAAGGACCTGCCGGGTCACAGGTCACAGGTCACAGGGCTACTTCCCCTGAGGCTCTGTGATGCCCCAGGTACATCCCAGCCCCTGGTCTGCCTTGATTGTCATGCTGGCCATGGCCATGTGAGAGGATCACATTTGTTCACCCTGGCTTTCCATGGTCTCCTCTCCCTACGCCACGAGCCTTCCAACGAGCAGGGGTCTCCTGTGCTCCATGTGTTACCATGTGTCTGAGATGTTCTCAGTAGTGATGGGTCTCTTCCCTCTCCTTCCTGCCTGCCTGCCTCCCTGCCTTCTGTCTGTCTGTCTCTCCCCCTACCTGGGCCTCTACCTGGAGGGGAAGGCTGCTGTCCAGTGCGGAGGCACAGGATCAAGATCAAGGATGCTGTGTGTCTCTGAGCAAAGTGCTGTGTGTCTCTGGGCAGAGGACAAAGCTAGGATCCTGTTTCCCCTGGGGGGGGGGTAGAAGGAACAGGACTCCCGAGGCTTAGATAAAAAACCCAGCAGGCTTTGAGAAAAACAAGAAGCCTAGACACTTGGTTGATCTCAGAAGGGCAGGTTAGAAAGACCTTACTTTCTTGGGACTAGGGGGGAGGGGGTGTGTGCTGTAAGGTACTCGCAAGTAGACTGCATGATTAAGGGGAGCCGCTGACTGCAAGATGTTGCTTCTGCCCCTCCCCTCCTTGACCTGCATTTATCAGAAGGTTGGAAAACTCCTACTCACCCTTCAAACCCCACCCTAAGTGTCCACGTCACAATCAATCTCCTCCCCAGCCCCCAACTGGGTCTGTGCTTCCAGTGGAATCTCCATCGACCACAGCTCAGGGCAGGACCCCCCCCGCCCCCCGCAGCACTTCCGGAGGGTGTCAGACATCCCCCCGTCCTGCCCCATACGGGTACCTGCTTGTTGATGAACAGGGCCTTCCCTAGCAGGCAGTCTTCCCTGCTCAGCATCACCCCATCTCGAGTCTGGGGTTCTCTCCGGCAACAGGCCTCCGGGACCTCTTCACTGTCTGGAGTCAGCAGCCGGAAAACGGAGGCGAGCTTGAAGTCTTCAGGCCCGTTGACCCCGCAGCAGCCAAACTAGGAGAGCAGAGAGCAGGAGCTGGACCCAGGAGGGAGACACACGGCTCCCGGAGAAGCGCGTCGGGGACCGGGCAACTTGCTCTCCTGCCCTTCTGTGAGACGGTGAGAAAGCCACTTAGCATCTCTGGGCGTCAGTGACTTCTGTGGAAGGGGCTGCAGGGACAACTGCTACCCACCAGACGGTCACTGTGCTGATCCTCGATGACAATGACTGCCACTGGACCACCCAAGGCAGGGACAGCCCCGATGCGTGCCAGGCAGACTTGGGATGGCCATCGATTGGCTGTGACTGCCTGGAAGGCCAGGTCTGGGCTTGGTGATTGATGATTGCTGCCTGGCACAGGGCAGGGGTGGGGATGGCTGGGTCCAGTGTGTACTGTGCTGGCAATTGTGGCTCTTAATACTCCTTGCATGGGGGTGGGGGTGGGGTGCACCGAGGAGGGACTCACTGTGATCATGACTGAGTTCCAGGTGGCCGAGAAGACGTCGGTGTCGTTATTGCCCTGGTAATGCTTGCTGAGCTCTTTGGTGAAGAACTCTCTGGTGAGCTGGGGACAGAAGGGCGGGGGGCACTGAGGCCCAGGGCTGGGTGTTCTCCCTCCCCCCCCCTCCATCCTGGGGCCAGGGCTCCTTAAATCCTCCCTAGCTGTCAACTTGGGCAGGGTCCTCCACCTCCGTGAGGCCCCTGGTATGCCAGCAAGAAGCCAGGGTGCAGGTGGGGCACAGCGGAGACTCCTGGGTACCAAGTGCAGTCCCCCCACAGGCCGCCTGCCTTCGCCCCTCCCCTTCCTGCCCCACGGCCGGCTGCTCCAGCCAGCCTCATCCCTCTCCTGCCTTGCGTCCAGGCTCCATTGGCTGAGGCGCCCGGTCCCTGTCTGCTCCAGGGGTGGAGAGCAGTGCCCCCAACCCCCGCCCCAGATAGCTGGAGCCTCCATGGGGCACAGTCATGACACTGTGGGGTGCTCTGAGCCTCCCTGACATCTGACAGTGTGACCCCCCCCCCCACTGCCAGGCTATCACCAGTCATGTTCCAGAATCAGGGGTGGAAAGCCTCAGAGCCTCCTGACTATAGTTTATCTGTCAATCCTGGGGCTTGAACTCAGGGCCTGGGAGCTGTCCCTAAGCTCTTTTTGCTCAAGGTGAGTGCTCGACCACTTTGAGCCACAAGCGCCACTTCTGGTGATTAAATGGAGATAAAGACTGTCACGGTCCATCTTGCCTGGGCTGGCTTTGAACCATGATCCTCAGATCTCAGCCTCCTGCGTAGCTAGGACTACAGGCGTGAGCGTCTGGCGTCTGGTGGGGAGAGACAGCTCTGAGGAGGGGGACACCAACGCTGAAGGGTGGCCAGGGCACGTGGGTACGTACGTTTTCCCTGAAGATGAACGCCAGGATGGCTGCGGAGAGCTCCGCCAGGAAGATGACCAGGATGAACATGAAGAACTGCGGGGAGAGAGAAGGGGGGGTGGGGGACACCACTCCTGAGACCCTGAGGTGGGGTGGAGGGCCGCACCCTGCCGCCTGTCACCGCTGATGGGCGCCCCCCTCCTAAGAGCAGTTTCACTGTTATCAATCAATCAGACAACACGCCAAGGAGCTCCGGAGTCAACAGCACCGTGATACAACGTAGGAAACAAAGTAGATAAAAATAGTGCGCTTCCCCTACCAATGGTGCGCCATGGAGAGGCAGCTTGTGCGCTGTGTAGCCTGAACAACCCTGCGTGGTGGCGGGGGCGGCCCTGCAAGGAGACTGCCTGGGACCCCAATGGGACCCTGGGGCCAACCCCCCTCCCCCCAGCCTCTGGTCCCACGAGAAACAGGGCCATCTCCGGTCCAAATGAAAGGAGGCAGATTGGACTACCGAAGGCTGCAAATCCAGAGTCTGTGATCTTGACCTTGAACCCAGAGCCCCTCTCTTCCTCTGCTCCCCATATGAACCACCATGCTGTCACTCGGCTGCCCTAGCCAGGAAGGCCTGCTGAGCCCAGGACTCAACATGATGACCTGGCTATTGGCAGCACCCCAGCCCCGCTCTCTGGTCTGGGGCTCAGGGCTGTCAGCAGAGGAGAAGAGAATGGTCTTTGTTCCTCAGTGTCCCCTTCAACATTCACGAAGTCTAGAAGGGCCTGTAAGGGGGGGTGGGGGGGTATGCCCTCCCAGCTGCCCTGCTGACCACCCTGAGCCCTGAGAGTCGCCGGCTGGTGCTGGGCCAGGCTGGTTAGGAGGTCAGGACACCTCCTGTCCCTCCTTTGCCAGCTCTGTGTCACCAGGAGCCCAGAACAACCACGTGATACCCTGGGAACCTCCGTTGGCACTTTGGTAAAATGGTAACATGGCCTCTGGCCCACCCTGGGGGCTGGTGGCAGGGGTCACCACCCAGCTCGCCAGGGCAGGCTTGGATGTGGTCAGAATGTCTCCGCAGAGCGTGTGTGTGAGCTGCGACAAGCGCAGGGCCTGGGCCTCGATCTCGGTGCCCTAACCTCCCCCCGCCTCCCCCCCCCGCCCGCCCCCCTGGCACTCCCTCCCTATCCCAGAAGGCTCTCTGTCTTCATCCCCACCCTGCGGACGCTGGGCAGCCGCCAGTGGCAGCGGCGTGCATGGGTTCCAAACGTCTGGGCCTCGAGATGCTCTGGGGACGCCGGGCCACCGATAGTAGAGGCGTGGTGCAGCTTCTCAATGCTTGGACCCAATCAGGACGTGGGGGTGCCCTCTCTGCGTCCCTGCTCCACGCCCAGGCCCGTGATCTCAGGCTCTGCAGAACGCTGCCTGCCCCAGGAGCTCACCCGGGGGCCTCCGACCCGGCCCGTCCACAGCGGGGCCTCAGCAAGGTAATGCCGGGGCACAGCCCCGTCCCCAAGACAGTGGGGGTGCGGGAGCGGCTGAGAACCAAGGGGGCGAGGTGTAGAAAGGTTGCAGGAGCCACTGTACCTTCGGGGTCCCCGAGTCCTCTCACCAGCCAGGGGGGACAGTCCCTCTGCCCCCCACTTTTATTGATGGCCAGCTCTGATTCTTTCCTTCCCACGTATCAAACGAGCTAGGAGGGGCACTCAGCAAGGTGACCGTCTTCTCCTGAACACCATAGAATGGCAGGGAAGGGGATGTGGTGATGTACATGTTCCATAGGACACTTAGGTTCAGAGAAGTTAAGTAACCAGCCTGAGGACACACAGACAAGAGACCCAAGACTCTAATGTCCAAGCTCTTCCTCTTCCTCTCATCCTGTTTCCTTCCTGTTAGGGCTATTTCCCGAGCAGGTGTCCAGTGAGTATGCATCCAGGCAGACACAGCCCACCCTAGCGGTCCACCTGTGTCGAGTTCAAATACCAGGAGATAAAACAAACTGGAAACGCATGGGCAGAGGCTGCCCCGGCGCTGCCCCTCACGGCCTTCCCGGTGTTAACTGCTGAATTTATGGCACTTTTCTTAGTCTGGGGAAAAGAAAAAAAAACCCCAAACCAACAGATACTGAAACTGCTCTTTTGTCTACTTGTAAGCTTTCCTAGGCTTTGCAAACCCATCTGTTTCCTGTTCTTGTTTCTAATAAATATTTACCAATTTTGTACTTCATGTTTAGCTCATCTATCTTTAAGTACACCCCGCCCCCCTCCAGCTACTCTCTTTTCTGGTTTTGCATGCCTTTGTTAAAAAGTGTCTTTTAGTAACTAGGAACCTTAAGCCAGGCACTGGTGGCTCACGCCTGTAACCCTAGCTACTCAGGAGGCTGAGATCTGAGGATCTCAGTCAAAACCAGCCCAGGCAGGAAAATCCATGAGACTCTTTATCTCCAATAAACCACCAGACAACCGGAAGTGGCCTTGTGGCTCAAAGTGGTAGAGCACTAGCCTTGAGTGCAAAAGCAGAGGCGGTGCCCAGGCCTTGAGTTCAAGCCTCACAGACCAGCAGTAAAATAAAATGAAATCAGGAACCTTTATATAAATTGCTAAAAAGGCTCCTTGGGATACTATAATGTCACCAAAGGGGGCAGGGTTAGTACAAAAGTTGAACGATAGGTGCAAATGTCCTGTGGTCTCTGCCAGTGCCGTGGTGTACCTCCATGGGCATACTGTTGAGTGGTGCTCTCAGATCTGCTGGGCTTGGCTGGCCGGTTACTGGTCAGACTGTCACGGGGCCCTGTGGGCTCTCATCCTCTGAGCGGAGCAGGGGAGGCCCAGATACCCCTCTCCAGGGCTCCCTGGGTCTGTCTCTGACCTGGCTCCCAGGGCAGCTGACATCAGCTTGTCTCAGGCCCTTCCAGACCAGTCCTTCCTCCTAGCAGGCTAAAGAACAAAGTTTCCCAAAGGCTCCCAGAGGCCACAGGGGTGACACTCAGTGTCCCCACCCCCCCGCCCCAAGCTGGACCCAGTACCCAGCCAGCTTCAGGTTGGGAGAGGGAAAAAATGTGGCTGCTTTCTAGGTCATCATTTTTTGTTGTTGTTTGGTTGTAGGGTTTTTTTTTGGGGGGGGGTTGGCAGTACTGGGATTTGAACTCAGGGCATAGTGATTGCTAAGCTGGCTGACTTAATGGTGAGTCAAGCCTCCAGCCCTTATGATGCTGTAGCTATTTTTCAGATAAGGTCTTTTACTTTTGTCCGTGTCGGTCTCAGACCTTGATCCTCCTACTTATGAGATGAATGTGGCCTGTGTAGTTGGGATCACAGGCATGCACTGCCACTCCTGGATTATTGGTTAAGATGGGGTAGGAAGGAGGAGAGAGGGAGGGAGGGAGGGAGGGCGGGAGGGAGGGAGGAAGGAAGGAAGGAAGGAAGGGGAGAGAGAAAGAAAGAAAGGAAGGAAGGAAGGAAGGAAGGGGAGGGAGGGAGGAAAGCAGCTAAGCGGAGGGCAGAGAGCACAGAGAGAGGCTACAATGACAGTGGGGACCGGGCTGCAGCCGGGCCTTGGCTCTCTCAGGACAGATACCACCCTGTCCTGTCCTGGCTCTAGTTTTCTCGCTAAGCAGTGGACAGAGCAGACATGGCTGGCCCGGTCCAGCTGGCAGCGAGCCCCAAGCTGGAGATTCAGGAGGCCGCAGAGCCTGGGCGGTGCCAGTGCGGCACAGCTGGCTTCCGGTGCTGGCTGCAGGCTGGGTCCAGCAGCCGCTAAGTCCCCCGGGTCCCAGGCAAGGGCGGTGTCTGGGCAGGTCTGTGGTGTCACCTCCACAACTCTGTGCATGCCATGGCGAGGGTGCCCCACCAGGGGGCGCTCAGGATGTCTCTCCAGTGGGACGTCTGTGCAGTTCGCACCTGGGGGTCCCTGGCCCTCTGTGCTTTTGTGGGCTACTGGGCATCTTGTGGTGGCTCACGGGGCGCTGCAGTCTGGCCAGCGACACGGTGCAGGATGTCTGCCTCCCAGGGTGGGCTGGGTACTGATCCTCCTAGGGTCACCCACCCCAGGGAGCACCGGCAAGCCCAGCCAGCCTCAGCCGTGACCTCCCCAGATTGGGGCCTTGTGCATAGTAGGTGTGAGGCTGGGTGCTGGAGGTTCATGGTTGGAGGTCAGCCAAGGCAGAAAAGTCCTTAGGACTCCATCTCCAAATTAACCAGAAAAAGCTGGGCTAGAGGCATGGCTCAAGTAGTAGAGGACTTCAAAGTCTGACATTGCCAAAGAAAAAAGAAAAAGAAACAAATATGTCTGAAGGGCGGTGATCTTAGCTGTGTGACTAAGGAGGTATACATTAGGGTTTCTGTACCAAAACAAGAAAAAAAAACATCATGGTGAATATCAGTGTTCTCATTTGGTCTGGGGCCAAGGTTGGGATGGCGGTGCTCATTCCAACCGTAGGCCAAGGCCAAGTACAAAGGCAAGTAGAAAGGGCCAGAGAAAGGCTCATTGGCCCAAAGCTGAGGGTGAATGCACCTCTGAGTGGGAACATAGGCTGGACAGGTTCTGGTCCAGGGCTTGGACCTCTTAGGGTAGCAGTGAAAATCAGTGGAAGAGAGGAAGGGAGAGAAGGTGGGATGGAGGGAGGGAGGGAAGGAGGGAGGAAGAAACAGGGAGGGAGAACGAGAAGGGAGGAAAGAAGAGAGGAGAGGAGAAGAGAGGAGGGAGGGAGAAGGAGAGGAAGGGAGAAAAAGAGGGCGGAGAGGGATTAGAGAGAAAGAGGGAGGGGAGAAAGATGGAGAAGGAAGGAGGAAGACAGGAAGAAAAGAAGGGAAAGGGAAGAAGGGAGGGAGGAAAGGAAGGAGGGAAAGAATGAAGTCTGGAGGAAAGTGAGCTCCCAGCACCAGGCATGGAGCACAGGCCTGTGATCTGGAAGCTTGGGATGGAAGGGCGGAGGCTGGCCTGAGCTACCTGGGAATAAAGCAGCAGCTGGTCCCCAGAGGCCCGTGGGGAGCTCAGCGCACCTGAGATGTCCTCCCTAGTCTCTGGACACGTCAGGGCCTCCAGACCAACAGCCACGAGGGACGAGGTACCAGGGCTGGACGCAGACACCGGTGCCAACATGGTCCAGCTGGGGAAGGGCTGTGGGCGCCAGGGTGGGACCTGGCCCGGGGGCCTGCACCCCCCTTCCACCCCAGCCTCCCACAGGGTGGGGACCAGGACTCACAAACAGCAGCAGACATTTGTTCTCCCTGGCGGCACCGCAGCAGCCCAGGAAGCCCAGCAGGAAGAGAAGGCCACCCATGGCCAGCAGGACGTAGGCGCCCGTGATGAGCAGAGGGTTGGCGGCCACGATCTCCCGGAAGCCGGTGGGGTCCACCAGGACCCAGATGCCCACGCCCAGCAGGCAGGCGCCCCCCAGCTGTGAGGAGGAGGAGACGACACAGGGAGGTTAGAAGCTGCTCCTGCCTGGCTGGGGCACTCAGACCTGCAGAGCTGGGCACAAGGCAACAGCTTGGGCCTGGGGCTGCAACTTGGGGCCTGAGCTTTATTTATTTTTTGCTCAAGGCTGGAGCTCTACCACTTGAGCCACAGCTGCCTTTGAACCATGATCTTCAGATCGCAGCCTCCGGAGTAGCTAGGATTATGGGTGTGAGCCACGGGCACCTGCCTCCCTCTGGGTTTTGAGGGGACTCTTTTTCCAGAGAAGCTCCAGCCCCCAGTGCCCATGGGGCTCAGCCCTGCAGCCTGGGATGAGCCTGGAGGGGTTCATTCTCCTCCTCCCCTCCTCTCTTCCCCAATGCCCCCGGGCCAGCCCCAAGCCCCCAGCCTGGCCCTGACCAGCGTCTGTAGGAAACCTCTACTGATGAGGGAGTGGGGTGGGCATGCAGGGACTCCTCTGGGAAAGTCTGCCAGGCAGGTGTTTCTGCCCCTCCTGCCCCCCCCGCCCCGGCCCCACCAAATCTCACCCCGGGGATAGCTCTGCCACGGTGAAGGCCGGAGAGAGCCAGGAACACTTACAAATATGAAGAAATTGAAAACGAACATCAGATACTTCATGCAGCTCAGGCAGTCACCTTCCATGATGCTCCTCCTACAAAAACAAAGCTCCTTCAGTCCTCCTGCTGGCGGGGGGCAGCCCTGGAGGTAGGGGGGAGTGGGAGGGGCAGCAGAAGCCAGCTCTACCCTTGTGGCTAGTGGAGGAAGGAGTTAGAATAGTTCCTCTCCTAGGAACTGGGATTCCCCCCTCCTCCATGGGCTGCAGGAGGGAGGAGGTGAGACCAGCCTTCCCAGGTATAAGTCTCCATTCTACCATTCTCTCTGCAGCCCCACAGGGGAGCGGGGAGTCACAGCCCCTAGGCTCTGTGGCTAGGACCACCGTCAAGTCAGGTACCACAGAGGGAGCTTCCTTCCATGTCAGCCAGCCCCAAACCACAAATGGAGAATGGCAAGCCCAGGGCATGACGCCAGGAGGCAATCACGTCCACAGCTGGAAGCACCTAGCAGACCCGTACAGAACGGGCACAATTGCACTTAATCCTCAAAGCTCCAGGACTCAGGCACAGCCAGCCATTCTGTTACTACAGGGAGGGGATTGAGATTCCCAGAGAGGGGGCAACACCCCTCCAAGGTCACACAGCATGGCCATGCTGAAGAACAGAATGTGGGTCCGCCTGGAGGCAGAGCCCCGACTCTCCACATTCATTTGTGATGGATGCCAAGTCCTTTGCTCCATTCAGCCCGCTTCCTCCAGTGCACAGACTCATCTCTCTCTCTCTCTCTCTCTCTCTTTTTTGGTCAGTTATGGGGCTTGAATTCTGGGCCTGAGTGCTATCCCTGAGCAATTTTGCTTAAGGCTAGCACTTTGCCACTTTGAGGCACAGCACCACTTCAGGTTTTTGTTTTCTGTTTTTTGTTTGTAATTAACTGGAGATAAGAATCTCACAGACTTTCCTGCTTGGGCTGGCTTTGAACCACAATCATCAGCTCTCAGCCTCCTGAGCAGCTAGGATTACAGGCGTGAGCCACTGGTGCCTGGCATTGTCTTCTCCCTTTTCTGGAAAAAATAGCCTCTTGGGCCCTCATCCACTGTCATGCTAAAGCCGAAGGCCAAGTCCCAGAATGAATTAGTGATAGATGTGAGCCAAGCAGCATGGCCGGCCTCCTGTAGACACATTACACATTCTATGGGCTACTTTTCAAAACTTCTTTAGTAGAATGTGTCTTTGTAAAGACTGCCATGCTGTCAAGAGTCTAGAGCAGGCTGGGTACAGGATTGGTGTGAGTTAATACCTCTTAAGGGTCTTTGTATCTTTATGTCTGTCTTCTGGCCCAGTTCGCTCTGTAAGAGAACAGATCCCATTTCCACAGGAGGTCAGGGAGGCGCAGCCCATCCCTCCTCCCAGCTGGGCAGGTGGCTTGTCACCTGTGCCATCGGTGTCACTGATAAGTTCCCAACGCTTAGGAGTCCCTGGTCAGGGCTGTCCCTGACCACCTCCTGCCCAGATGGCAGCCCCTGGAGGGAGCTCGCTAGGCTGAGCTGGAAGCTTCTGGCAGGGTTTTGTGGATGCCAACCTGGCTGCACATGGTGATAAACGGAGGAAAGTGGTGGGTGTGGGTGGCACTGGGCAGCATTTGGGCATGCTCAGTAATGCGTCAGCAGAGTGAAGGCTGGCAGGACCTGGCTCACCAACGTCCTCCCCAGCCTCCCATCAGCGAGAAGTGTGATGCTGAGCAGCATTCCTTGGCTGTGCGTAAGGATTTGTCAGAAAGTTCCTCAGAGCCAGCTCCAAGCAGTGGAAATGAGGCTGGACTTAGGAAGTCAGAGGGTTCACATGGAGTCTCCTGTTCCACCAGCTCACCAACAATCCCGCAACCCAGGTCTGCTTCCCCCCTGGGTTAGAGGACAGGCTGGCGAGGGAAGGTTGAGGGGAGGGGAGGGGAGGAACGGGAGGGGAGGGGAGGAAGGGGAGGGAAAGGGCGGGGAGGAAGGGGCGTGGTTCCTTCCCACAAGGAGGTAAGAGTACAAGGCCTTAAGATACCTGTGTGGAGTCTTTCCCAAGTGATAGCTCACTTGGCATAAGGTCTGGTGGCTGAAAAATTCCCCTTCTTCCCTTCCTCTCTATCTATTCATTTATGTATGCATCCATTCATTAATCTATTCACCCATCCATCTCCCCCTGTACCCACCCACCCCATCCATCAACTATCCCTGTATACCCACGCTTCTATCTATCCACCTACCCATCCATCCATCTACCCATCTACCTGTATACCCAACTGTTTATCCTTCTGTCTACCTCTCCATCACCCATGGATGCATCTATCCATCTATCTATCCATCCAGCCATCCACTCATCCATCCACCCACTCGTTTGTCTTCCATACACCCATCTACCATCCAGCTATCCGTCCATTCCCCTCTCCCTTCCTTCCTTTCTCTCTGCTATGCTGGGGAATGAGGGTATGGTAGAGATTGGAGAAAACAAAACCCTGGAAATAATAGGGCCTAGGAGCCCTTGGGATGAGGGGCTAATCCCACTGGTGTACCTCCTTCTGAGCAATAGAGAGGATGGCAAAGGTGAGTCCTAAGGAGATGGGAAGGCAGGGGAGGGCCCCCCACTTCCAGAGCTCGCTGTGGCCCAGGAGCTGGTACCTCTACTTGGCCTAAACAGTCAGGCACACGTCACCTATCTACCCTGTCTGTGTGTGAGCCAGCTTCAAGGCATCTGGCAGTTTTACACTGGTGAAATTGAGCCTGAGAGGGAGAGAAGTGACTTGGCTCATGTCTCACTCTGCGCAAGCAATGGTGAGCTTCCAATGGTGAGAGCTTCCACCAACTCCCATAAACCTAGCTTCTCAGGAGGCTGAGATCTGAGGATCTAAGTTCAAAGTCAACCCTGGCAGGCAAGTCTGTGAAACTCTAATCTCCAATTAACTACCAGAAAACCAGAGGTGAAGCTGTGGCTCAAGTAATAGAGGAGCAATGGTCTTGAGTGGACAAAAGCTTAGGGACAGCACCCAGGCCCTGAGTTCAAGCCTCAGTACCAGCATGGGGGGGGGGATTGAACACCATAGGGGCAGAGGAGAGGCCCTCTGGCCCAGGAAAGCCCCTGGGCGGGGACTTTGTTGGGTGAAGCTACCTGACTCCTCCTGGGAGCTGGGGTCCCTGAGCCTTGGGCCTGGAGTTGTAGACAGAGGCTGGCTCATGAGGGGGCCCAGGGCTCAGGGGAGCAGGAGAGGTCTTCTCCTACCCCTCTCCTTCCTCCATCCCAGCCCCTTAGGCTGTTGCCTGAATGTGACAAGTTCATCTTCCTCTGCACGCTACCACACAGGCAACAAGGAAGGTAGCACCGCCCACCATAGCTCCCTATCCCAGGCATACCCGCTCTGCAGTGCAGCTTCCCTGAGCAATGCTCCACTCTCTTCTCTCTTTCCTGGAGACCCTCCATAGCCTCACTCCTGTCTGTCCTGAGAGAGGACAGCCTGGGGCCACCGTCCTGCATCCTCATCAGCACTGATTATGAAGTGCTGGGGCCAGCACTTCAGTGTCCCTGAGACTCTGGGATGGCCAGTACCCTCCTTCCCTCCCTCCCCAAGATGCCAAGTTCCCCCTCTGAACACTGTCACCACCCACTGAAACCAAAGGTGGCTGGGAAAGACTAGAGAGCTGCAAAACGCTGCAAAATGATGGGACGCAACTGTCACCATCACCACCCGTGGAGAATACATGGCTGTCCAGCCACACAGCCACATTGTCACTGCAGGGGTGTGGGGGTGGGCGGGGGGGGACACAACACATAGGGCTTGTTTGTCAGCAGGGATGCAGATATTTATCGCCAAACGGCCCCCTGAATTCAGACTGATTGTTGTGATGTTGTGAAATTGAACTGGATCATGATTTATTGGATCAAATATTTACCAAGAACCACACCGCAAGCTGGGTGCTGGTAGCTCATGCCTGTAATCCTAACCACTCAGGAGGCTGAGATCTGAGGAATGTGGTTCGAAGTCGGCCAGGGCAGGTAAGTCTGGGAGTCTGTGACACTTTTATCTTCAATTAATCACCAAAAAGCTGGAAGTGGCACTGTGGCTCAAAGTGGTAGAGCACTAACCTTGAGCAGAAAAGCTCAGTGCCTAGGCCTTGAGTTCAAGGACTAGCACAACCAAAGGAAAAAAAAGAAAGAACCAGACTGCACATTGCACATCTCCTGAATCATTTCATTTAACCCTTACCTAGCAAAATGGGTGCTGTTATGACCCCATTTCATGGGCAAGGCCATGAAAGCCCACAGAAGGTCACTAACTGCCTTATGTTTGTCTACCTGCTTAGGTGGACCTCGTTGTGATTCAGGGGAGACTGCTGGTCTCCAAAGCAGACTCCTGACAAGATATGGTTCCACGGGGCATGCTCGTGAATGGGTTGCCACAGTGGGGGAGCTTGAACCCAGTGCTGTTCTATCCCAAGTCAAGCAAGCAAGCACAGAGCTTCTGGAAGCCGCTAGCATCCTCCCCCGAGCCAGCTGGAGACTTCTGGCGGGGGACAATCCAGCCTTGCCATCTCTTGACAGATGGGAGCCCCTGAGGCCCAGAGAGGGGCGAGGATGGGGCCGAGGTCACACTGTGCCCCGGGGCTCTCCACAGCAGGCTCCTGCCTGGGCCAGACAGCTTTATTAAGTGCCCCAGATGGCGGCTCAGCCCATCTGCAGGGAGTGGGGTCGGGAGGGGCGCTCTGATGAAGAAGAACAGCTCAGTTCATAAATCACTCTTTTCACTCTCACTCCCTCCAGCCCCTGGGCAGCTTTCTGGAGAAAGCGAGAGTGAGAGAGAGAGAAAGAAAAGAGGCAGGTGGATTGGGAGATGAAGACGCTCCACTGGAGAAAAGCACAAGCACCTAGAAATGTCTTATGCACATCACTGCCAGGAGAGGGCGCCATGGTCCAGGACAGAGCCCCGTAGGGTCTCCTTGCCACTGGAGCCCCCGTTCCTCATATGTGACAGGGGGCTCTTCAGCAGCTAGCATCACCCCAAGGATTATACGATGGCATAGAAGCATTCATATACCAGTCAGCACACAGAAAAGTTCCTTCTTGC